TTGAAAAATATCAAGGAAAGTAGCATCGTAAGATAATGTATTTCTCCATTAGGAGAAGAATGAACATAAATAAGATTTAGTTCGTTGGACATTATCAATTACCCATATATATATATGATATATACTTCTAAGACATGTTAGTTGTAGAGATCCATCCATCATGGATCTTAGCAAGCTAGTGGGAGCTATAAGCGTCTTATGAGAAAAGATCAATTGTTTGATTTCTCATAAAGATGTAAATGAATCTTTTGTTTACTAGGTTTACAAAAGATTAGTGGGAGTTGATCATATTCCTAAATTAGAATATATATACAAGATATATATTAAATTTTGAAAATGAAAGGAATTCTTCATCATTAAAGTTATGACTTTAAACATTCTATAATGATAGAATGTATATGGGAGACATAGTCTATATACATGGGATGGAAATCTATAATGATAGATTTCAAGATATAATTGGATTATATCAATCCCTAAAATAGAGAAGAGATGCTAGGAAGTTTCTCATATGATGATAAACTTCAATTAGAATGACAATTCTAGTGAGACTAGGAAGTTGTTCTTCTCAAAGGGAATGTACCCTTTGACTCCCAAAGAAATAATGCGTAAATAGAATCCTTTATGCATACGCAGAAAGGTGATTTATGTATTTCATATTGTATGAAAACATTGATATAAGTCGTACCTAGAACGGTACAAGATGATATCAATGCAAGCCCAGGATCAGAACCATGGCAACTGTCAAGTGAATCCTTAGGTATTTAAGAAATACTAAGGATGGATTCCTCAAGAATGAGGAAGAATTAGAGTAACGTAATGGAAGCGTAAATGTATTAGATTATGAATCTAATCCATCATAGAATATCTCTTCATTATGAATGAAGTGATAATGAGATATCTCTTTATTATGACTAAAGAGATATTTGGGTGGAAACGTTAAAAGTAATGACTTTAATGTGTTCTATCATGTATGCAAAATATATTGCCATATAGAAGCTTACAACATTGTTGTTTGGATGGGAAAGTTCATTCATGAACTCTCCATTCGGTTCCAACCAGAAAGTGTATGACACTAATGGGGCGATAGCTCAAGCCAGGGAATCAAGGTCTCATCAAGGTCCGAACTCAAATGAGAGACTGAACCACATGATTGAGAATCATGTATAATGGTGACGTCGTTATTCTCAAGGTTGCTTCTATGGATAACATATAGATATCCATTGTTTAGGCCTACTACTCAGCCATTTATGAAATGAATTACAGAAGAGGTATCATCAATGATGACTAAGCTGATTGGCTCTAGTGCAAGTGGGAGATTGTTGGAAATGTGCCCTAAAACCAATCATATGATGATACTTTACGGACATTTCAAACTAATGTAGTTCATTTCAAACTAATGTAGTTTAAATGTAAAGGGCAAAGATTATTGTTTGAGCCGTCACATATAAATGTTATATGCTTAAACGATAAGTCCAAGGAATATGTGATTGGAAGAATGCGATCTAAAGAAGTTAGATTCATGAGACCATTCTTTCGTTGACACATCCTAAACGTTCCTGATCATAGGATTGTCAATTGGGCATTGACAGTCCGTTAAGATCAGTACGTGCTATGTCTTCTCTCAGGGAGAGTGACTAGTCTCGAGTCATTGGTGTGTGTGACATCAAGACAAGTACGTAGGTGCTCAATAGAGAATGAGTTCACTGAACACGATCAACGAAGAGTTCTCATATTCATGTCCCATGAGAACTCATGGTTGGGATAATGCAAATTAGTCTTTTGACCTGAGGCATCACAGTTGTCTTGTGGTTAGGTCCTTAATCTTTGATTATGTCAAAGTCACTCTATCAGGGTGTCCACGGCATCGTTGGGGTTAAGCCACTTAGCCATGGAGGCAAGTGAATGCGCAACAAGGGATCTCTAACCTTCAAACTGTTTGAGGGAGAATACTCTATGATATGATTTAGAATCTCTGGCCAGAGTATGAATGAGATGTTGGAATGCGTTCCAGATCACATTCAAGGTAATCATATAAGTACAAGATTCACATTGGATAGTAGACATGAATAAACTATCAAACCAAACAATGTGGTCAAGAGTATTGTATTAGAGAAAGACCGTATTGCATTTGTAATCCTAAACTGAATAGGTTCTCCACCTCTTCTGATTAGCTTGGGTAACCATGATATGCTGCTAGGTGTCACTCATGGTTTGTGGAAGCCCTAAAAGTGTATTATCACTAACGGGAGAATTGAAAGTAAGTTTCAATTCACAATCGATTTGAAAGAGTTTGAATCGCCCACTGCCTCGCTAAAAGGAACCTAATGGATCGTACACCGTGTAAGGTAGAGTTTGAAGAAACAACGGAGATGAGTAAGAATAATTAAATGGTTTAATTATTTATCTAAGGCTAGGATTAATTAATATGTTAATTAATCAAACGAATAAGTTCGTTAAAGACCTCGGGTTAGTTTTGGGCCGCAAGGCCCAATGGGATTTAAATGTCAAGCCCATTAACTCAAGTTGTATGACAACTTGAATAAAACAAAGGGCTTGAAAGCCCAATAAACCTATAGGCTAGCCATGTGTAAAAGAATAGGGCTTTTGGTCCATTAGGTCACTTATTTGAAGGGACTATATAAAGGACTTTATAGCCTAAAATTTACTAAGGGTTATTTTTGGGGAAAGGATGAGAACACAAGCTCTCCTTTCTCTCAAAAATTTTGGCCAATCTAGAGGGGAATAGCTAGCAATCTTACTTCCTCTAGGTCACTCATTTCTTCTACAATATACCTTGGTGTGGAGACTTAGAGGTTCTCAATTTTGAGAACTTGGAGAAACCTTTTCATCCATCCAAATCCATGGATCCAAGATGCAAGGAATGAAGGCCCTCTCTTTGGGTGATTAGCCTTTGCTTATGCAAAGAGGAATCTACAAAGGTATTGATTTCTCAACTCACTTTGTTTTGAGTTGAGTCTTGATTCACCTATCTACTAGGCTTTGAATTTCATGGGTAAATGTTTTGTTTTAAGTGCATACAAGCATGATTCCGCCTTTAATTGTTAATTGCATGCTATTGATGTTGCTTAAATGAACATGTTTTTCACAAATTTTCCTTCAGTTATTACATAAAATTACTGGCAGCTGGGATTTAAGTTCTATAATATAATACATGCATTTTTAGAGTTATAATGCATGTATCTAGCTTTAAATTTGTGGCTTATGGAATTCCTAGGTTAATGACATTTTATGAAATCATTTAGTTTGTTAGGAGTTATATTGTAAACCTTTATTTTTTATGTCTTTTCATATTTTTCACTTTAAGTTGTAAGCCTATAAATACTTGTATTTGTAAAGAAGAAGGGGGAAGTTGTTAGAATTATCATATTGATATTTGAGTTGTAAACTCGTTTTTATGTACCTTTCTGCTACTTTGTTCTTTCTAGTGTCTATGTTGTAGGCTGGTACTAGAATCAAAGTTTATAGGATTTTTAGGTCTCTCCTCGCACTAAGAGATAGTGGACCCTACCTATCTATTTTATCTATCATTTTAATTCGTTTCTGTCCGCTACGCCCTGCATCAGACATAAAAATAAAGGCTTACAATATAACTCCTAACAAACTAAATGATTTCATAAAATGTCATTAACCTAGGAATTCCATAAGCCATAAATTGAAAGCTAGATACATGCAGTATAACTCTAAAAATGCATGTATTATATTATAAAACTTAAATCCCAACTGCCAGTAATTTTATGTAATAACACCTTTAATCCTTGGCCTGCATCAAAGAGAGATAGAGAGATGTAAAGGGAGGTTGACACATTGGGAGTGGTAAGAGTTGACGTTTGGGGATGATTGGAGAAACAAATTGAGGAGGATGTAGAGGGAGAGTATAGAGGGTTCTAGTGGAATCGTGGAGGTTCCAAACTTACCTTTTTTTTTAAATAAAATTGACTAGGCTATTTTTTTGTTAGGGATGGAGATGCATTTGGTCTGTCACTGTTCATTGGATTCTACCACTGTTCATTGAGTGGATTAAATAGGCTAAGTGCTGATACATTTTTTTAGGGGTGGACTTGTTCTTACATCATTATATTCGGGTCTGATAAAGAAAACGTTATATTTTTATTTGGGATGAAAATACCCTTCTATATTGGCTCTCATGATCTTATACCACCTGCAACACAAGTTGATTTAGTTTTACGTACAATCATGTACATTGCACAAAAATTTGGGTACAAATGCGACGAAGGGGATCATGTCCAATCCTTGATTTACAATTGTGATTTAGTAACCTATGTGATAATGTATAATACTAAATAACTAACAAACGCGAATAATATGGATAGATCCATGATTCGAAACTCGGATGGATTAAACTATAATCCAATTATTATAAAAATTTGTACATTTTGATATACATCAGCAGGCTAGTATATTCAATTAATTTGACTAAGGGGGAGAAGGGCTAGAAATTATTACAATAATTCAAGAGTGAGATGGAGTTTCGAACAAAAATATAGGGTAAAAACCCAACACCCTAGAATTTGGCTTGCAATCTCGTAATCCTAGAATTCTTCTATATCAAGTTTCACCGAAAATATCTTACAATCATCGGTTATTATTCAGATAACAGCGGTAAGAAAAATTAACATATCATTTTACTAGAATTTGAGCTATGTTCATAAGTTGGCGTTAGTAATTAAAATTCCATTATCTTCTCTCACATGAATTAGAAATCCTATTCAGCAATGGACCCTTCAAGTGACGCGCTTCCAGCTCATGTCGATATTGTCCCATGATAGATGATACTACACACGAAATTCCATGATACTAATCATAATTAACTATTAAACTAAAATTATATATTAACCAAAACAAAATTGTGATTTATTATTAATTTATTATACTAAAATGGCATCGGAGTAATTAAACCCAATAGAATGTCGCATTCCAGATCCCCGCATGCTTTTAAACCCGACAACGTTCTTTTTCTCCTTCCACCTTCTTTTATCCTTTCTGACAGTCGCAGCCACAGAGCGACTGTACTCTCACTCTCTCTTCATCTTCTACATTTTGGATATACTAAATCTACCCAGCTCAAGCTTTTTAGTCATGGCCGCCGAGGCCTTCTGGTTCGGAGTGCTGCTTCTTCTTCTCCCATGTTTCTCAGCCATGGCGAAGCAGACTTACATTGTGCAGATGAACCACCACTCCAAGCCGGAATCCTACGCCACACACCACGACTGGTACTCCGCCAGCCTCCAATCCCTCTCCTCCGACTCAGATTCCCTCCTTTACACCTACACCGATGCCTACCATGGCTTCGCCGCCTCCTTAGATCTGGAGCAGGCCGAGCTGCTCCGCCAGTCAGACTCCGTCATCGGCGTCTACGAAGACACGGTTTACAACCTTCACACCACTCGGACCCCCGAGTTTCTCGGTCTCGATACCGAATTGGGGCTCTGGGAGGGTCACTCGACCCAGGATTTGAACCAGGCCTCGAATGACGTCATCGTTGGAGTTCTCGACACCGGGGTCTGGCCCGAGTCCAAGAGCTTCGATGACACCGGAATGCCCGAGATCCCTACCCGGTGGCGGGGCCAGTGCGAATCGGGGCCCGATTTCGCGGCAACGCTTTGCAACAAGAAGCTAATCGGAGCTCGGAGCTTCTCGAAAGGTTACCACATGGCCTCCCGTGGGAGCTACTTGAGAAAACCGAGGGAAGTCGAGTCTCCGCGCGACAGAGACGGTCACGGTACCCACACCTCCAGCACCGCGGCCGGGTCCCTCGTGGCCAACGCCAGCCTCCTCGGATACGCGACCGGAACGGCTCACGGAATGGCCCCTCACGCGCGCGTCGCCACCTACAAGGTCTGCTGGAGCACCGGGTGTTTCGGGTCAGACATTCTCGCGGGCATGGATCGGGCCATCGTTGACGGCGTCGACGTCTTGTCACTCTCCCTAGGCGGTGGCTCCGCTCCCTACTACCGCGACACGATCGCGATTGGCGCGTTCACGGCTATGGAAAGGGGTATTTTCGTCTCTTGCTCTGCCGGGAACAGTGGGCCCACTAGAGCCTCGTTGGCCAACACAGCCCCCTGGATCATGACCGTTGGAGCCGGGACCTTGGACCGGGATTTCCCGGCTTACGCTTTGTTAGGCAACAAACTCCGGTTCACTGGCGTTTCGCTTTACAGCGGGACCGGAATGGGAAACAAACCGGTCCAGTTGGTTTACAACAGGCGGTCCAACAGCTCTAGTAACTTGTGCATGCCCGGTTCGCTCAACCCGGATTTGGTTCGTGGGAAAGTGGTGATGTGCGACCGAGGCATCAACGCACGTGTCGAGAAAGGTGGCGTCGTGCGCGCAGCTGGGGGGATTGGGATGATACTGGCCAACACCGCAGCCAGCGGTGAGGAGTTGGTGGCTGATAGTCATTTGCTACCTGCAGTTGCCGTCGGGAGACGAGTCGGTGACCAAATCAGGGAATATGCTCAGCACGATCCCAATCCGACGGCTGTGATTACTTTCGGAAGGACTGTGCTGAATGTACGGCCGTCACCGGTCGTGGCGGCGTTTAGTTCACGGGGGCCCAATATGGTGAACCCCCAGATCTTGAAGCCGGACGTGATTGGTCCAGGTGTCAATATTTTGGCGGCATGGTCAGAGGCAGTCGGGCTCACGGGCCTTGAGGAGGACAAAAGGAAGAGCCAGTTCAACATCATTTCAGGTAACGGCTAGTTTGTTAACATTATTTGATCGGAAGAGCTCTCCTTAGCTCAGATGGGGATTCTCTGACCGGTCCATATTAACTGTTCAAATTTAATTCAACAGCTCTAAATATGAAGCTTTTTAAAAATTATAATAATTGCAACTGTTAGATTAAATTTGAAGAGTCCAGTCCAAATGCACCGGACTGTTGATGATGTTGACTAATTTGAAGTTGACTCGACCTTTGTGATTTTGTCGCAGGTACATCAATGTCATGCCCACACATTAGTGGGCTTGCAGCATTGCTCAAGGCGGCCCATCCGGAATGGAGCCCAAGTGCTGTGAAATCTGCCCTAATGACCACAGCTTACACCCATGACAACACCAAGGCCCCTCTCCGAGACGCGGCCGATGGCACGATTTCGAACCCGTCGGCTCACGGTTCCGGGCACGTCGACCCCTCGAAGGCGCTGTCACCGGGCTTGGTTTACGACATTGCTACCGAGGACTACATTGCATTTTTGTGCTCATTGGAGTACACCAATGAGCATGTGCAAGCCATTGTCAAGAGGCCCAATGTTACTTGTGCAAGAAAGTATTCGGACCCGGGCCAGCTCAACTACCCTTCGTTCTCAGTCATGTTCTGGAACAAAAAGAAAAGGGTTGTGAGTTACACCCGGGAATTGACGAATGTCGGGCCTGCCGGATCTGTATACAGAGTCGCCGTGACCAGTCCTTCGATGGTGAGGACCATCGTGAAGCCCACAAGGCTTGTGTTCAACAATGTAGGAGAGAAGCAGAAGTACACGGTCACATTTGTGGCTTCGCAGGGTGCAGAGAAAACATCAAGGTCGGAATTCGGGTCAATCATGTGGTCAAACCCACAGCACCAAGTGAAAAGCCCAGTTGCTTTTGCATGGACGCAGTTGATAGATTGAGATTTTAGGCTTTTTTCTGCTGTTGGGCTAGAAAGTGCTTTTGGTTTTGGGATTTCGGCTTTTAAGGAAAGCACTTCAATGGGGTTGGTGGGTTGAATTTGGGTGGGAGTTGACATTGCCAATGTTTATGGGTATGGCTTTTCACCAACGCGTGAACAAGTTTAATTCTCATACATAGGAATCAAACTGCTTGAGTTTGATTTGTCTAGCACCATTGCTATGAACGCCATTTTATCGAAATCAAACTAACGAGACCATGAACAATTAGACACTCTTTTTAAACTCAAAATTCTCATACATAATTGTTTCTACGTATTGATAGTCTAAGACCTACCTTGCGTACGAAGGTACAAATTTGTCGTAAAAACCATTGCAAATCTACTCATAGATAAACATTTCCTCAACAGAGAGCAAAAAGTCCAGGGGCAATACTCTAAAATTTACTTCATAGCTCACATAAATTTTGCATCTCTCAAATATTTGCATAATTTAGACTAAAAAGGCAAAACAAAGCTTCCACACTGAAAGTATAAATACTAATAACATATACTACAAGGGTTGCAACAGGTTATTCTACAACAGCAACGTGGGCGTACCTTCGGACATTTAGGGCAAGAGCATTTCCATTTGCAACAGTTGCCGCAAGAGCAATCGGGACATAAACACGATGGAAAAATGCAACAATTCCTGCTGCATGAAATATTTTTGCAGCAGTTGGACCGGGGACATGTGCAGCAGCATCGCCACTTTGGTAGCCGACAGCAGGCACACGGATTACAGTTACATGGGCCGCAGTCACAGCAGCGTGGCATTTCTAGGTGAAGAGAGCACCCGTCGCAGCAGCAACAGCAAATCCATGAGCAGCTGAAACAGGGCATTCCGCTGTACCACAAACATACTTATGTCATATTCGGAACAAATTTACCTTTCCAATACTGCTATTTGAACGCAAAAGTTCAATAATTCAGAAGTGTTAGAAGACTTCTTCCCTCAATGTTTCTATAAGATTACCACTTTTTTTTTGTATTGCAGTCACTGTCGAGTATAAACTTAGTTTCAACTTAATAAGGAGCAGAGAATCAAAACTAGAGAATTAAAAACTCGTAAAGTAACATAAATCATTAAGACAAAAGGAAAAAATGGTACCATAGCCATTTCCAGAAGCGACAGGACCGGCGTTTCTTTCGATTCCTGTTAGAAAGAGAGAAAACTGATTTACTCCACGCAAGGGGCGCTAAACTTTACAAAAAATTGTTTAAGTTGTTCTTACGTAGGTATTAACGGATCTGGGTTTGCAACCACAAAATCAGTAATCCTGCAAAATAGTCAAATTCAATCCACAATCAGTTTACTCACACTACATGTACCGAGACTAGATTTAACAAAATTAGTACGTTTTCAGTTCGAATTCTTCTAGTTCAAATTTTGAGAACTAGATGCTACAAAAGGTAACGGAAAGAGTTACTTACTCTTTGCAGCATCTCGATGCAGGTTGAAGCCGTTCAACAGATTTCAGTTCGTCCTGCAAACAAATAAGTTCATTGTTTAACTTCCACATAAACCAAATAAGAAGAACCAAGTAAACAGCAATGATATATTAAGTGAATATCTTTTCTGTTTGCAAACTCTATGACATGATTGATTAAAAGCGGCATTTCGGCTGCAGATACGCAGGACTTAAATTATGAAAACTTCCTTGGTTTGTTTACGATGGAAACTTCAATTATTCAGTGGAAAGTTACTACATTAGCATTGAAAGATGAGAGATGAAACGTTTTGAGCTCAAGTTGCAAACGTCTTAAATTTCTCTAATGCGTCGGAGTTAATCTAATCCGGTTTAAGGTTACTATGGATTATATATGCACACAAAGACCATCCTTATTGATTGGTCAACGAACTTCTTTGTTATTATTGGCTGATCTGTTAAACATAATTGGGTTACCAAATGGGCCGGATCCCTTTCCACCTAATCCACCTAGTCTGGATCCGAACCGTTGAAATTTGATCTAACGGCTACAAACAGGGAGCCCCTTAAAGTGATAATAACTGTAACCGTTGAATCAAATTTCAATGTACAGATCTCGGACTAGGTGGATTAGGTGGAAAGGGATCAGTAGAGGATCCCTTTTCTACCGAATGAAGTCAGTGAAAACCTGCCAAAGACATTTGGGTGCACAAAGTGACAGGAGAACAGAATACCACCCATTATGGAACTAAAACTCAATAATTATGAAACTAATTCTAAATCACTATCACTAATTCAGGTTGGATTAGCCGGTGAAGATTATACAGAAACGGTGAGAATAGTTCGCGGAGTTCCTCCTCCACGCCGGTGGGGTTCGCGCTGCTAAACGAAGTTAATTACTGTCACCTGCATAATATAACTGACCAACACTTTCTATACCATGCAAACAGAGGAGTATTACTAAATGGATCGACTACATTAAGTTCCGAAACTTTAGAGTTAATTAATCCCTTGAAAGTTAAAACAAAACAACATTGAAATGGTTCGTAGTAAATTAGGATCACTCTCAACCAAATGATTTTAACTTGATCATTTCCATGTTAATTAACTCTAAGCTAAGAGTTAAAGCAGGATATTGTCTAGCTTTATGAGCACATCCTCAAGGGAAGATTATCTTAATCATGGTTTTATCGTACACAAAACCGAAAGTCCTACCTTTTCACTGTTCACATAATTAAGCCAATGAGATTAAAGAAAAAGCATAGCTTTTCCAGTCCAAATCAAGAAAAGAAATGCTTTTTAATCCAAGAATGATTTGAAAAAACGAATCATTTAACAAAGACAGAAAGGGCATGAAATCTTTAATTAACATTTTAACCCAAATGATAATTATATTCAAAGTTTTAATTTTTCAACTCAAAGAAGTTAAATTAATTAGTAAAAGTAAAAGAAAATTGAAAAATCAGAGTTACCTCAAGAAAACCAATCTCCCTCTCAAGCATCTGAACCCTGGCAGTTTCTCTGCGCTTCCCATACAAATCAGGATACTGCGGCGGCGACTTTGGGCGTGGCGGTGGCAGTGACGGCACAGAAGCAGAGCAACCAGAAGGAGCTGCCATTTCAAATAGTAATCAAAACCCAGTTGCAAAATCACCTAAAACTCAGACCCCAAATGAAGAAAACGACAGCGGAGATTACAGAGAGAAAAGATGTAACAGTAATGCTTCTGATAGAAGCACTGCAGTTGCAGCGATTAGTAATTACACACAAAAAAAAAAAAAAAAAAAAAAAAAGCTCATCAATCAAAAGCTCTCGGCAGAAAAGCACTTATGAAGCGGCAAAGCAAATGATGGTAGGTGTAGAAATGAAACGATGGAAAGCAGTAACTAGGGACTCTGACAAGGATAAAAATTACGACCCAGAACCACAAAAGATAAAAAGAGAAGTTGTACAGCGAATAAATGCTCTGCAAACAGAAGGGGATTAATGGGGAAGTTTAAAGATTTAAACTTTATCAAACGCAATCAAAAGGGTAGTAGTATTAATTAGAATTACAAAAAGGGGCAGCCATTTATTCAAAATTCTCACAACTCACAGGGCTCAATGGAGTGAATGAGTGTTTTTTTTTTCAAAAAAGAAACATGGGTTTTTGGTTTTCTTCCTTCTCGAGGCGCATCCAACTTGGGTTTTGTTTGCATGTTTTGGTAATTGCAGAGACAGTTAATTAACCTAATTAATTAATTAATTAAACCAATAGTAATAGCAATGGTAATAGTAAAGACGGCTGTGCAAAAAAAGCCTGCTACTGCAAGTGTCCGTACGAACACATTTGGCAAATATTTTGAGTGAGATTTTTGGGGTTGAATTTGTAGAAAAACAACTTAAACAAGTAAAAACTAAAGCTTTTTGTGTGTGTTTTTAAATAAATAAATTTGTTGAATTTGTATTATTTTTAGATTGAAGGGGTGAGGGAGTTGCAGGATTTGCAGAGGAAGAAGCGAAAAGCACGATGGGGAGTACCTCAGACAGCACGTGACTGCTGCGTAGAAAATAGAAAAAAGGGGGGAAATCAGAAGTTTTTGGGCAAAACAGAGACTTGGACAAATCAAGCCCTGATTTTGAGAATAACTAACCATCTGGGTAAAAGCTCGTGTCAATTTTACCTTTATCTTGTACCACCGTAATTGGAGGACTTTTATGGTACATGTATATTACTACCGTAACGTTATTAGCTGAAAATTTAACCTTATGTGAATAGAAATTTACATTCGTTGTCGTACAATTGACGCAAGATGCTACAATAATAATGTGTTCGTGTCATGAAAGTTGCGGCATCAACTTTTATCTTAATTTTCAGATGAAGTTACACTTTTAATTAATTAGAGTGGTTTTTGATTTAGTGTTTGAAGTTTCGATGCTGGCATGGTTAATTTACCTTTTTAAATTTTGTAGTTGAAATCATTAACTTCGTTTACCTGAAGAAGAAATATTTGGTGTGGCGATACATGCATCTTCGACATTTTAAGTCATCTAACTTTTTAATCACATATTAACGTGACCAAAATAACAATTCAGATCCATAAACATGTCTAAAACAAAATTAATTCATGTGATATCCTCACTTTCCGCTTATTGATTTATGTGCACGTGAGTGAAGCTTTCTTGTAAAGTCAACACACTTGAAATGCCTAAGAGCATCTTCAATGGAGACGTCAAAAGATAAATATCAAATGTTAATTTGATGGTTGACGTGACAATGTCAGATTTTCTATTTATCCAACCGATATGTTTTTTTGTTATAAATGATATTTGTATGACCTATTTTAAAAAGAAATCAATTAAAATAAATTTTCAAGATCTATAATTGGTGCATTAATGGGATCCACAAAATAAAATAATTAAAAATTATTTGACATCATATTTTCTCATATGTCAATCCACAAAAGATTTGGAGTTTACTCCTACCTTCAAATTTGATTACATGACATTTCACTTAGGATTTGTGTGACATCTCACATCGCCTAGGGGAATGATCCTTATATGTATATTCTCATCTCTACCTAGCACGGGGCCTTTTGGGAGCTCACTGGCTTCGGGTTCCGTAGGAACTCCGAAGTTAAGCGAGAAGGGGGCTAGAGCAATCCTAGTGGGTAAAATACCTTTGTACCAACAGGGTAAGAGCCCCCCGTTGCTCTGATACCAAATTGTCACTTCCCGGGCCCGCTCCACCATCGTAGCATGATATTGTCTTCTTTGGGCTTACCATTCCCTCACGGTTTTGTTTTTGGGAACTCACGAGCAACTTCCCAGTGGGTCACCCATCATGGGATTGCTCTAGCCCCCTTCTCGCTTAACTTCGGAGTTCCTACGGAACCCGAAGCCAGTGAGCTCCCAAAAGGCCTCGTGCTAGGTAAAGATAGAAATATACATATAAGGATTATTCCCCTAGGCAATGTGGGATATCACAATTTGACATCTCCTTTGAAGATGGTCTAAATTGACAATACACATTGCTGCCACGTTAGATTTCATTCTTTAATTACCAAGCTAGCCATTTTTGAATAATTGCAAAAATAAACTAATTACATAATTACACTTTTCGAAATCAAAACTATATGGACCAAAAAGCAGAGAGTAAAGTTATCTCGACATATAAACTAACACAACATATTCAAAAAAAAAAAAATTCTAGTGAAAAACTTATAGGTTATTTTCCATGAAAGGATTAAGGAAGATAGTTGGATAGAGAAATTTGAGGGAAGGGTGAAAATTTTGGGTGAAGTAGATTTGAAATGGAGGAGAAAAGCAAAATACGGATGTTGAAATAAAATGACCAAAACAATGTCGTTTTGAATCTTGATAAGGTCTAAACAAGATAAATTAAAAAAAAAAAAAAAAAAAAAAAAAGAAAGAAAAAAAAAAGAGTCAATTCTTCTTCCATGCGCTTACGTTGCGACTATCGTCATAGGCATCCCTACTCGTTTACACTCTCCAATACAAGTAGTCCCAAATAGGGTGATAGGGCCACATTTCTATTGAAAATTTGTCTCAACAAGTATGTCCAAACCAAATTATTGGGATGAAAGTTTGTCAAATGGGTGGTCTCATTGGCCTTCAACTTTGGGGGCCACCTTTTTACTGCATCTTATACAAAAATGACAGTGATAATAGTCCTTTTACGCACAAGTTCCTATTTAGAGAGTTTTTTTTATGGAATAATGTTATTCACACATCTATTCTTACTTTTTACATATTTTTTTAATTTGTTATTGTCAAATCGAATGACTAAAAATATTCTTTCACCAAGATCATTTTTACTTTAATTTCTAAACCCCAACCCCAAAGTATGAACAGTCAGAAATATTCTTCATCATTTTTACTTTAATTTCTAAACTCCAACCCCAAAGTATGAACAGTCAAAAATATTCTTTTACCAAGATCATTTTGTCAAGATCATTTTTACTGAAAATATTCTTTCACCAAGATCATTTTGTCAAGATGAACAGTCAGAAATTTAATCTATACTATTATTAAGAGAACAGGCCTTGTCAACTTTTTTTCCTCACTTTTTCTAATTTTGTCCTCACTTTTGAATAGACAATATTGACATGAGGAGGGCAAAATAGTAATTTTGTACCTTTTGACAAAATGACAACCATATTCCTATTTTTCCTATTTTATCCTTTTTTATACTTATTTTTCCAATTTTACCCTCACTTTTGATACACAATAGTTACATAAGGAGGACAAAATAATAATTATGTAGTATTAAAAAAATATGCACTTATTAAGAGAAATTATTCACACACATAAAATGTATGCTCTCTGCTAGTTTCAATTAACCCATGTCACCCTTGTATTACACTGTACCTGCAGACACACTTGTATTTATTGGGCTTCAATTATCCAGCTATATTCTCAGTAAAAATGGTCCATAATCTCAGTTACAGCTGGCCCATTACTTACATTTGTTTCAAATTACTCATGAAAATATGTAGTCCCACACTTCAATCCACCTGACTTTTGACTTTGGATTTCTACGCCTCTCTTAAAGTACAAGGAGTCAGTTAATATTACAATATAATGATATTTCTTTTTATTTGTAAGTGATATCCTCTTCACTTGTAAGTGAGAGGTTTTAGGTTTAATTCTTGCCAAATGCGAATTTGAACCAAAATATTGTTTGTTCATTGTAAGGCTTAGCCCACTCTCTTACCACATGAGTGTAGATAATATCTTTTGTTAAAGAAAAGATACAATAATTTGCCAATTTGGTATCCAAAGCTTGACTTGTTCCAAAAATGCATATATAAGTCATAACAAATGATGAGGAGATTATCTCAAAGTGGGACTCTCCATGGACTCTCCGCCACCTCATGTTTTTAGCACAATATTTTATCATGTTGGCATAGAAATTGTGCCACAAATATGGAGTGGTAGAGAGTCTATAAAAAATCACTTTTGCGAGAGTCTCCTTAATATTTCCAATAAATCATTGTTGTTCACACCCAGTGACACACCAAATCGTAACTTGTAAGGACTAAGCAAACATGGACGGAGCCAATGAAGGCTCACTGGGGGCAGATGCCCCCACTCAAGTAATTCGTTTGTTTAGTTATAGACTACAATTATATAATATACACGGATTATCTTTGAAGAAAATATATGTATCTAATATCCAACATACATTCATTCATTCTACTTATACTTCATATCAAATATTATATGAGTAATTGTGCTCTTGTTCTATCATTCAAACTGAAAATACCCTCTCCGGCCTATCATGTACTTATATTTTTCTCATCACTTTGCCACTTTCCACTACTATATTGAAATTTTTGTAACATTGGAATTGTGATACATCATCATTTGAAACCATCCTTAATATCATATTGCGTATAACCATACTATAATAAAGTTTTCTTAGTTGTTTTCAATTGCCCCCACTATAAGAAATTTATGGCTCCGTCTCTACGAGCAAACTTCCCAAGGCAATAACCAATGAGTTCTATGATGTGGTGACAATTATCTCCGTTTTGTTATATTTTGTCCTACTTTTAACTTTCATGATAGGCGAACTTGTGATTAGCTCGTACATATTGGTACACATAGAAATGCACTCTTCCCCCACCCAAACTCAACCATTGGTTGTCAAAAATGAGGACCTAGATTGTCTGCCCTTCCCATCTCATATTTTTCTCATATTCTTCTATTTTTGTGGTTATGGTTAAGTCACGTTAACATTTTATATTCTTATTACTTTTTGTCTTATTATTTTTATAAAAAAACAATATAAAATGTTAACGTAGCTTAACCATGATCACATAATATAAAAGGGGATGAAAAATGTATGGAATGGGAAGGATAGACAATCCAGATCCCAAAAATGAGGCGGAGTGAGAATTTGTCAATTTAAAATAAAACATCTTACTCAATTGACATAACTTACGACTAGAACTTTACTGTGAGTGAAATATCCAACGGTAGAAAAAGAGCTTTGTAAAAATAGATTGCCAAAATTGAGAGAGAATTTTACCAAACCAAATTAATTCAATTACACAAGTCAGGCTCCCGTACGGTTGCGGAATAGTTTTTGAACTTCACGCGCCATCGGTGGGGGTGACCACGCCTCTAGAGGGAGGGAGATGGGTGAGATATTTTTCATTATGATCAGAATATAGGTGGTACATCATCTGTTTTTATATAAATGGTGAGAAATTTTATTTTTTAAATTATTTATTTTTTAACACACATATTTCATCATTTTGTATAATGATACGTAATGTATTATTCTATGTTCCGATCATACAAAGTCTCATTATTTCCTTGATTCATTCATTCATCCAAGTAGGACCCGCCGGTGAGGCGACACATCATGAATTTCCTGCTCTTTCTCAAAGTACTACGGCAAAAAGAGGGGTCTCTGAATCTCTGATAACGTGTCGAGTGGGCCAGGCCTACCATTTCTCCGGCTACAAAGCCCAAGGCACCACCTCTCCCATTCTCTCTTCTCCTCCGTGAAGGTGCTAACGTGCTAACGTGCAACACACCACACGTGTGCACGCTTATAGTTACCCTGTTTGGCAAAATGCCCTCACAGAATCACAGGCAAAAGCTCTTGGCTCGAAAATAATACCTATAGTTTATTTAACATTTATTTACCAAGAAAAAAAATGTTTTATTTTATTTTATGTCTGAAATTTGTAGGAGCTTTTTGTGTGTGTCTTGAGCGACCGAGTAACGTAACATGGAAGACTGTACTTGAGCAGTCTTTCTTAGGAGGAAATGGGTCGATCGTCCACGGGCGGGAGTGCAATTTTTATCTAATGATGCCAAAGCAGAGACGGAGAATAAAAAAGTTAAACTAGCTCTTTCCTTTATTTAATTATGAGATTCGAACTCATGATCTTCTTTGACAGAACAAACTTGCATTAGCATTTTATGGGCTTTCCTAATCTGTGTTGGCATGTGGGCTTGTTGAATGGTAGGCCATTGTCCTTAGATAAGCATTTTGTAATTGTGCGACGTGAGTGTAATTAGGAAGGGCATGTTTTTGATAAGAACGCCGCTTATGTTTCTACATGTTGTTGATAAGAATGCCGATTATGTTTCCACATGTTGTTGATAAGAATACTGCTTATGTTTCTACATGAGCTTGATAAGACTAGTGCTTATAAGAAAGCTGTTTATGTTTCAACATGTCGTTGATAAGAATGCCGCTTATGTTCCCGACTTTCACGTAAGCGTTAATGACATTTCTTGGTCTTCTTGTATTGTCTGGGATTTTTATCCTTCAATAACGTAACGTCTCTTTCAAAAACTAAACTAAAAGAAAGAAAGAAAGAAGAAAAAAAAAAGGATAGAAGGATGGAAAGCAACCCCTAAACTGTAGGTCAGAAAAGTCCATGAAACACAATCCAAAAGGTCATTAAGTGCAAACTTAACATAATTATTATATTTTGTTAAACTTTGCAAACCTTTGAAAGGTGACGAGCATCTCTAGCAATAATTCAAAGGGTCATAGAAAGATGTGAAAGAATCTTTGAACTGTAGTCCAATCGGACACCAAACAAGTTAACGTAAGAACAACGAACCTGAACGCCCTCCTTCGAAGAGATTTACGCTTTTAAATATTCTCCTTGACTTTGAGCTACCAAACTCAAATAATTAAACAAAAAGTTCAGCCAAATTAAGCAACGTGGTACACCTCTTAAAGATTAAACCAAAAGGCTCTGTTGATTCCAAGCGCAAACTCTCCCGTTTCATTGGCCAGCAATCGTCATCTCGAACAAGCAACCGCATCTCTGCCAAGCAAGCACATTTGAATTCAGATATTCTTCCAACTTATGCGTATGGTATATGCAGAGTCAAAACATTTGAATGTAGAAACCACTAGACCCTAAAGCCTCCCTAAGGCAAGAAGCTTCCCTACTTTTGCTTAGTCTATCTCTAAGCTTTGTGTATAAAAAGAAAAGACCCTTGTTAGCAACGAGATCAAACTCCAAGTTTGTCATCGAGCGAAGCAGAATAATTGAATATAGATAGCAAAGAAAGAGATGGGGGCAAAAGACAATATGATCATGCCTATAATTAGCAAGATGTACTGTTCGTCTTCTCAGGCTGTGCTTGTCGTAAGGAGGAGGCCACCCATGATAAACGGAGGTGGTTTTGTGGTTACGGATTGTAGTCAGAAGGTTTCTTTCAAGGTTGACGGATCTGGAATTCTGGGGAAAAAGGATGAGATGATTCTGAGGGACAGTGATGGAGAAGCCTTGCTTCTTATTCGTCGAAAGGTATACATATATATGTCCAATTCAAAAAATTCAAAACAGAATTTCAATCAAGCATGCATCTATAAGACAAAACATATTTCATTTTGCATTATGGCATGTACATGAAGAGGTGTTAGGGATGCTTAATCAGTTTCCGCTCACTCCTATTGATTCGTTTATGTACCAGGGTGCAATGGTCGAGGCCCTCAGCATTTATCGGAAATGGAGGGGGTATAGTTTAGACTATGAAGGATCACAGGATCAGATGGTTTTCTGTTTAAAAGAGCCAAACTCGTGTTTGGCAAGGACTCAAGCAATTAGAATCTCAACGAAAGCCACAAAAAACAAAGACTGGGACTTTGAGATCAAGGGCTATTTTCCTGATAAGGATTGTAGTATTGTTGACTCTAAGGGCAACACAATGGCACAGGTAATTAATTCGAATTCAAGACGAACCTATAAGACTTTCCTTCTTTGTAAATTGCTTCTGAAATGATTAAGGTGGGGATTTGTCGTTGGTTAAATTGAAACACAGATCGGGGTGAAGAAGGAATTGATGGCGAGCAAGGATCTCTACCATGTTGTGGTGACACCAGGCATGGATCAAGCTTTCATCATTGGAGTCATTACGATTCTTGACTACATCTACGGTGAATCCACCAGGTGCTAAATTACTACAGATTCTAAAGAGAAGCTTTCCTTGATTTCACGTCGAAACATGATAGACTCTGCAGCGGAGTTCAATTTTCTGGATTTTGGAAGCTGCTAATCCTTCAATTTTCATTTTTCATGGATTGTTTGATGGATAATGTTTTAGTTGTCCCAACCTGTACTAAGTTACTAACTGGGAACTCATTTGTTAAAGCTTTTAGAAGGTATTTTTTGCAACTCTCTGGTGTGTAATTGGTGATATATTTTTACTTTTCTCAAAAGGATGCACCACCAATGTACTAAACCGTAGATGCAGAATCCGTTTCAATTAAATACGCAATGAAAAGTGAAAATCAATTCCACAATGTAGAGGAATTCTTACCCGACTTCGCCATTTAATAGAATCTCGTGGAGGAGCCCTGCCTCTGCAGAAGCGTGAGCATGTCATTCCCGTTGTGAGTTGCCAAAAACACGGAATTTTAAACAAAGGAGACATTTCTGAAATGAAATATGTGTTCAACTACAACTAATGGGATGGGAAATTTGATTGCAAGAGATTGATAAATGATAATAGTGCAAAATTTAACATCTTTGATGGTAACCTACCGAGCACAGGTCAAGATTTCTGTCCACGGACCATCGGACCATCTTCACAGGCATCGGAATGCGTCAGGAAATCTAAACATTAGCTCAGTTGCCTGATTCAGTTAACCAATTCATAGTAAGCAGGAGAAACGTTACAACATTATGCCAAGCAAGCATTCTTCAACAACAAACATGGAAAACCAATTAATGAAATAAGTATCGCAACATTCCATCACCAAATAGAGGTGTAAAACGCCTCAGAGAAATAACAATCTCAGAAAACCATAAGGTATACAAGTTGGCAAACCGAATTCATGGAAACTAAATTTCGTTTTCATATTAACATAAATTTGTAGTACATTATCTGGGATTATAATCTAATATCAGTTAACAATAATGACAGACGCAACTAACAGCATCAACTCAACACTGTACAAGACATAACATTCTTCGTTACCAATCCACGGTATCTTCGTCATAGATCTACCACAGCACTCCCGTTGAGGTGCCTAGCCTGAGAGAGAGAAATACCAAATAGATTATTATGAGGCCGAGTCCTAAGGTCTTGTTAGGGCGCATGCCATTCCTGGGTAGCACAACAAGTGACCATAGAAGCCCTGATATTAGAAATCCCATTGTATAAAACAAGCTGTTATCCTTGGGAATTTTGTACGGTTCCGGCCTCCGAGACCAGGATGCAAGCAGCATTGAGATCCCCAAACCAGCAAGTGTGTTAAACATAGGTCCGGCATAACATCCTGACATTGCAATCTGTACACCATCTCCACCATTCATTGCCAATGCAACGTTTGACATTAAATCACCCATTGAGTTTCCCCATGCTAATACAGTCAATCCAAGGATTGATGGACTAATTCCAAAAATTACGCCAAATGCCACCAGCAAGGCAACGAGCTCGTTTGCAACAATGTAGAACCAGATGATGCTCATAAAAAACCCTCCTAAAACCCACGGAAATAAAAATTTGCGAGGGGGCTGGTCCGGTCTGGTGTGTCGATATGCAAGAACGCCAAAGACACCACTGCAGAGAAAGCCTATAAAGTAGGCAATTTCCTTGCTCAGAGATCCGACATCTTCTTGGGTGTTCCATAAGAATAACAGAAGAATGGGAGCTAACACAGCACTGGCAACAGCATAACCTTTGGACCACCTATCCTCCTCGACTATAGGGATCGTCAACTGTCTTGGCAGTGTCAACGGAATCTCCAGCAGTGATAAAAATCTAAAAGAGGAAGAGTTTTCCTTCACTGTTTCATCCTCGTTCCAACCCCACAATGACCTTGAACTGTCTGAACCAGCCTTCATATCGTGATTCGAATAAATTGCCACATTTGAAGCCCACATCCACTGTGGCAACTTACTTTGGAGTTGAGGTACCTCACTGTCTGATTCAGACTCAAGAAGCGAAGCATATACAGATTCCTCTTCATCGCTTCCCTGAGAAAATATACTTCCCCTAACTGGTAGCAATGGTGTTACAGCATCTAACCTCAATTTTCGAACATGTTTCTTCAGAAGCTCGTTTGCAGCGACCACAAATGCATAAACCACATAAATCAAGACAAACGCTATAGCACCCCCGACAGTAACCTCACCAACCATCAACATTAAGGCAAGAGACATAACAGTAAAGAGGAAAAAACATATATCTCTGATAAAGCATTTCTTATCAATCTGAAACCCCTTATCCGCCACACATAGAGATATAGTCCCAACAACAATACAAGTAACAAAGACAGCTCCCCCCAACACACTATTAAGGCCCACTCCCCCGGCATCCTTACCCACAAAAGCAGCAATGCTGGCAAACACATCAGGAGCGCCATTCCCGAGTGGAAGCAGAGACACACCGGCCACAGTAGCCGGTAGCTTCAAGAGACTCGAAAGCTTCTCCAGAGAACAACAAAAGTAATCTGCCGCAGTATTACCCAAAAGATAGAACAATGCAGCTAGCCAAATTGCCAACACTACATACCCCAAAATGCTAACTTTCTCACAGCTGCAGTAAAAGAAATGAATGTAATTCAAATACCCACCGGAAGTACACTCTGGATGGGCAATCAAGAACTCACATTTGCTCCGATACCCTTCGTGTTTGAACAACCCGGTGCATAATTGGGGATTAGGTTCTGGTATCAAATTGGCATCCGACCCATTAACACTGACACTATAATTGGACGGAGAAACATCAACTTCGGCAATCCTCCGGCGAATAATTTCGATCTGACGACCCGGATCACCAAATCCATTTACTTTGGAGCTCCATCGAGGAGGAAGAACCGAAGGGGAACTACCCAGAGAAGGGTTTCTAAGAAAGCTATCCTGGCTGTAGAACAAGAAGACCAATACCAAAGTACAAATTCCATTGAAAAGCCCACGAAATTTGGAATTTTCCACCCTAAAAAACCACTTGGGTTTGATCATGATTTCTATTCCCAACCCTCCTCCTATCAAGCCCTAAATTTCGGAATTCCAAACCCGGACAGGGGTCGATCGAGAACCCCCGAGCAGGGCAAACGAAAAAACTCTAGAGTTTTGATCCAATCAAATGGGAAATCGGCAAAAAGATCTCGAATTCAATAAAGGGGTCGAGAAATTCATGTGATAGAAAGACAATTTTGATATTATCCAAGCGAAATTAGAAGGGGTTTCAGAGGGTACCTTGGCTAGAGAGAGAGAGGGGTTTAGCACTCTTTCTGCGGAGAGAGAGAGAGAGAGACAGAGAGGAAAGAGATACAGAAAGAGTGCTAAGGAAGAAGAAGAAGAAACGAAGCTTCGTCGTGGTTTCTTTCTCCTGAGGCTTGCCAATTGAGGAAGGAGAGAGCAGAAGAAGACGACTGTGTCCTTACTCGCGCGTACCAACAGTCGCAATTTTTTATCACCAGTTTTGGTCCCAATTCAATAAAGTTTGGTGGGAAGACTGTCCTACTTGTAGTATGGAGGTTTTAAGACTTTTCAATGGGCTGGGCCGGGCCAGATTAGAAACAACAGTGGATGGGCCGGCTCAATTGGGATCGTCTATTTTTTTTTTAACAAGCAATATTATCTAATGGGAAATAATTTAGTTTCATAATGAGCGAGCATTAATGTGATCTAAATTTGCTTTTGATGAAAATTGAACCTAAAAGTTCTCTCACTTGCAAGAGAAAATAAATACTGTTAGACTGTAGATCATTTAAGTTAAACATTTGAATAAGAATCATCTGACCATTTAATATGTCGGGATCTAACTCTATTACCCTACGCACCAAAACCCACCAGGAGACACAAATCAAATTGCCAAAGGGTTTGGTTATTGTCCATAATTTGTTTAAGTTGAAATTAGATCTCCTTTCTTTCTTTTCTTGGTTTATCCATCGCCTTCTCATAATTTCTGCCACTGCTCTTCATGCATGACATTACTTGAAAAAAGATGAGCCATGATTAATGAATTATTATCGAATTGATGTAACGCTAACCACTACGAGTTGCCTCGGTAGTGAGAGACGAATTTTATATTTGTATTTCACATTGCATGTTGTACGTTCAATTTTTTGTGTTGACGATTCACACGATGGTGGTTAGAGGAATGCTGAAATACCTTTGTAAATTTTTTCAACACCCAAAAAGATAGATTGCCATGATAAAACCACAAACTAGTCCTTTAAAAAAAAATCGTGTTTGATTTGATGATTCCAAAATACAAGAAGTCGCATGCCATTGTGAACTCATGTGCATGCTTGCAAGTGATAGTCATTACAATCCATGCAACATGGTGACTTAGTGATTAGAGGTGAATTTCAAGCTTATATTTTATACAGCATGTTTTGAGTTTGATTTTTAGCGTTGAATCACACAACAGTAACCAAGAGAGGTTGAAATCTTCTTTGTAAATCTTCCCACATTTGAAAAATAAAGCAAATACACCATCGAGTCCTTTAAAAAAATGAATAAAATAAATAAAAAGTTCATGTAACGTTGGATTCGATGATACCAAAAATACAAGAAGTCGTGTGCCATTGCAAACTCATGCGTATGCTCGCATGTGATAATCGCTCCAATCCATGCCACTTTAGTTCTTGACACGTGTACATACCATGTAAGATAACGATGATTTCATAGAATCTGGATCCTTTTTGTAAGAATTTTAGGGATTCGTGAAGTCCATTCATTATACATTGTGGTTAAAAATCATTTTGAATATTTTTATTTAAAATTAAACACAAAGAGTATCTGATAAAAACTGATCATAGTATGATAAACTGACACGATTCACAGATCTTCAGGATCCTCACCAAAAGGATCTGGAGAGGAAAAAGATTCTCTTTGGATCCCTTTCACCTAGTCAAACAATACAGACCCTTAAAATTTGATCTAACAGTAAAATTTATTATAACTTTTAAAATAAATGTGTATTTTTAATCGTTAGATCGAATTTCAAAGATACGATGCGGATAGGTGGAAGGGATCCGGAATCCCTTTCCATCCGGAGAGGATCCTGTTGGGATTTTCTGTAAGTGTGGCGTGTCGTAACGTTCCAGTACTCCCATTTCTATACGAAATTACATACCCAGCAAACCAGCTACTTCGTTCCTCCTCCCACTCTCTGATTCAATTATACGTCTTAACATTTCTGCTAAATTATTACCGCAATATTCAACATATCCATTTCTCACAACCCTATTTCTCATAATCCAAATCAAATCATCGGTAATTCATCGTGATCATCAAAAAGTTTTTATTTTATTTGGGTTTTTTTCGTTTTCAGATTTTGGTGTTTTTTTTTGTTTTTTATGAAATGAATCATAAGACACAGAGATGTTGAATTTGCAGAGATGGGTTTTGCCAAGAAAGATCACGAGTTTCTGAGAGCGATCGGTCTGGCTCCCGAGAATCCAGGAGGATTCATCAATGGCAAGTGGAAGGCGAGCGGCCCATTTATCTCCACTGTCAGCCTTTCCAACAATCAGGTTTCTAAATTGTAAACTTATTAGTTTTTCTTTATTAATCGCCATTCTTTCATCGATGGTTGCTTTTTATTTGTTTCTTTTGCGTAAAGATGTAATTTTGATTGGAAGAACACGAAGATTTGAGTTCAGTCACAAAAACCCAGAATTTGAATCTTTCTGATGATGTTGTTTTTGCATTTGGATATTAGGAAATTGCGAACGTCACGGAAGTGTCGATGGAAGAGTATGAGGAGGACCTGTGGAGCTGCAATGGTGCTGCAAAGACATGGAAGAGTGTTAGTTCTTGTTATTTTTCTTTCACTTGATAATTGGTGTTTAAACTTGTCTTTGTTTTGACAAATTTATTGTTGTTTCGGTGCAGCTTCCGGCGCTGAAGAGAGGTGAGATTGTTAGGCAGATAGAAGATGCATTGCGAGAGAAATTGCAGCATCTGGGGAAGCTTGTGTCCCTCGAGATGGGAAAAATACTTGCTGAAGGAATTGGGGAAGTTCAGGTCTGAAAAATATGATATCTTTAACAAAAAATTGTTATGTTTTCCATCTTTTGAGTAGCAAATGAGCTTTGGAGTTGTTCGCTATTGTTCGTCTGTTAGAGTTAAGATGGAATTATCATTTACCCTTCTTTTATCATAATCGTTGTCGAAACTTTGTTAGTGATTCCAGAGCACTAATTTTTGCAGGAGGTTATCGATATGTGTGATTTTGCTGTTGGACCAAGTCGACAACTGAATGGATCTATCATACCTTCAGAACGTGAGCTCAAAGTTTATATTTCTTGCTAATTTCTATTTTATCATCCTCTGGTTTATAAGCCAGTGGTTTTTATTTTTCGTACAACTCAAAATAGTAGGCCCTCTTTCTGTTTTTTGTTTGCAGGTCGGATCATATGATGTTTGAGGTGCATTGCTAGTTCTTACCTTGAACTTTAATTAATTTGTATATTGTTACAACTTCTACCATGCTCTTTTACACAATTGAGTTTGATTATGCGATAACATCACTGTTGGTTATTACCTTGAACCTTAATCACTTTGTATATTGAACCTTAATCAATTTGTATATTGCACTTAACAGTGATGTGCATTGCTAGTTCTTACCTTGAACCTTAATCAATTTGTATATTGTTACAACTTCTACCATGCTCTTTTAGACAATTGAGTTTGATTATGCGATAGTTGGTGTCATCACCGCTTTCAATTTCCCATGTGCTGTTCTTGGTGCGTTCTTGTTCTCCTTTGTCTTCATAAGTCTGCAACATAAGTTAAACAGTTATCTTTATCATGTAAAACTATTTTGGCATGGTGCTGGATTTTTAGTACGTTAAGTGCATCCACTAACTTGAGGATTTAGAATCAGCATTGACCTTGCTTTTCTATTTGTCACCATAATTCACTAAATACATTAGGAATTTTATACTGCAAGATTTCCAACTGTAATTTTTCTTTTTATGGTGCTTTAGGATGGAATGCCTGCATTGCGTTAGTCTGCGGTAATTGCGTTATCTGGTAAGTTTACATGTCATCCTGATTTCAGAATTGGAGTTTTAATCAAATCAATCATGCCAGAGCATAAGATAAATATTGAAGTGTATTCAAAATATCCCAACTGTTTCATTGTTATACTACAAGATATCTTATGTAACTATGTGACATTATCTTCTAAAACGTTGAGTTTTGTTGTATTATTTCATTAGAAAGATACAACTTTATAATGTAATTTCTACTTTTGACGTTTATGTTTTGTAGGAAGGGTGCACTAACAACTCCGTTGGTGACTATTGCTGTCACAAAGCTAATCGCTGAGGTTCTTGAGAAAAATGACTTACCTGGTGCTATATTCACTGCCTTCTGTGGAGGAGCTGAAATTGGTGAAGCAATAGCAAAAGACACACGGATACCCCTGGTTTCGTTCACTGGAAGCTCAAAGGTACACTGTTCACGTACATGTGTCTTTTAACATTCTTACTCCCATCACCCTGGTGACTATTGCTTATGTTCCACATTCCCAAATATAGGTAGGTGTGAAAGTGCAACAAATTGTCACTGAGAGGTTCGGTAAATGCTTACTTGAATTAAGTGGAAACAACGCCTTAATTGTTATGGATGATGCCGATGTTGGGCTGGCTGTGCGTTCTATCTTCTTTGCAGCTGTTGGCACTGCTGGTCAGCGCTGCACAATTTGCCGTAGATTGGTAACTATTTATCTAAGAAATTCCATTTGTGTGATTTGATGTTGTTAAAGAAGTTGAGATTTTTACTTGAAAATAACTTAATACAATTTTTTTTTTTTGTGTGCATGTACGGCTTCACCGGACTGCAGTATCTCCACGAAAGTATATACCAAAACGTGTTGGATCAACTAGTTGGACTTTACAAGCAAGTCAAAATTGGGGATCCTTTAGAGATGGGAACTTTAGTCGGACCAGTACATACTAAGGTGTCAAGGGAGAACTTTGAGAAAGGGATTTCAACCATAAAATCTCAGGCATGTTCTATGCTCTTGGAGAAGCGTGGACACCCACACACACCCACACTCTCCCCACCGAGGAAAATGGGTTCTTATGTCCTACATGACGTAATTTATTTTGTCAGCGTGGAAAGATCCTTACAGGCGGATCGGTTATATAGAGTCGGATGGCAATTTTGTGCAACCAACAATTGTTGAGATTGCTTCAAATGCTTCTGTGGTGAAAGAAGAATTGTTTGGCCCCGTTCTCTATGTTATGAAGTTTAAGGTGGTCTAACTTATGAAAAGTTTCTCTTGCATTATTGTTTTTTATGCGCTTCTTCTCTGATAAATGTTGCGGCTTTTGTTTGAAAATGTGCAGACTCTTGAAGAAGCAGTTGAACTGAACAATTCAGTACCACAAGGATTGAGTAGTTCAATTTTCACCAGCAAGCCGAATACCATTTTCAAATGGATTGGGTAAGTGTTTATAATATCTAATGACACTAGAAAGTGACGCTGATTATACAATGAATAAAGATTTCAAATTACAGTGTTTAATAGTTTTGCATTCGAATACGATGCAGGCCGCATGGTAGTGATTGTGGTATAGTGAATGTTGTTGATGTTTAAGCCTTGCAGCTGTCTTGTGTTTTGTTGCATTTTGTCTTTCTGTAATTCAAAGTCTCTTTTGTCTTAGTTTTGAAATGTAAGGCTGAGATTAAATCAAAGCTAATAGGCTAAATGTATGTGTGTCTCATGGTATAACATCTCACTTATACGTGAGCATGTGGGATTCACGTGAGTTTTGGTGTAATGGGAGAGATAGTGCGCCTCAAACGGCTATATCTCCTCCCCACTCTAGTTTGTAGCTTTTTAATCATTTCAGTCATAGCTGAATGAAATCAGAAATTTTCACAGAGCTCTTCATCTTCTCTGCATCAACATTTTCGTGTGCATTCTTGGTTGAAATCAAAACCTTGTTGAATTCTCCATAGTTCTGTGCACTGCTCTGTTGTTTTATAGAACTCTAACATGGCCTCAGAGCCTAGTTCATCGCTTTAATCTGGGCGTGAATCTGTGTTTTCTGGGTTCTTCAGTGAATCGCTGAAGAATCGAGTTTCTTAAAAACGAAGATCTGTGTCTAACATGGCCGGATCAATGAGTTCTGAACTTCGTACTCCCATTTTCAATGGTGAGAACTATGAATTCTGGAATATCAGAATGCGAACCATTCTCAGGTCTCATGGACTGTGAGATCTTGTAGAGACTGGGTTTGCTATCCCAGAATCATCTACTGTGGTTGAGGTAACTGATGAAAAGAAGGAGAAGGATGCAGCTACTCAAATTTCAACAAGTGCTGCGGAGATCATAATGAAGGATGCTAAGGCCCTTGGATTGATTCAAGGAGCTGTGTCTGATCAAATTTTTCCCAGGATTTCTAATGAAGAAACCTCCAAAGGAGCTTGGGATATCCTACAGCAAGAATTCAGAGGTGATAAACAGGTTAGAAATGTGAAATTACAAGGTTTACGCAGAGAGTTCGAGTATACTAGGATGAGAGATGATGAATCTTTATCTGCATACCTTACTAAACTGTTTGACATCATGAATCAAATGAGGTGTTATGGTGAAGAACTATCTAGGGAGAGGGTTGTTCAAAAATTACTTATAAGCTTGCCTAGAAGTTATGACTCTATTTGTGCTGTGATTGAACACTCAAAGGATATCGAAACACTTGAAATTCAAGAAGTGGTTGCTTCTCTGAAGGGTTATGAACAAAGGCTTGATATGCATACTGATCACTCTACTGAAAAGGCATTTGCTAGCCTAAATGTTGGTTCTAAGTTTCAAAAACCCAGTGGGTTCTCTAGTACACAGAAATCAGGGAAAAGTTGGAAGAACAAAGGAAAAAAATGGGATACTAAGCCTAATTTTATCTCTAAGCAGAATAATTCTCATGATTCGAACAAAACAGCTTGCAAACATTGTGATAAACTGCACTATGGAAAGTGCTGGTTTGAAGGAAAACCTAAATGCACAAATTGCCATAAATTTGGTCATGAAGTCAGAAACTGTAATGGGAACAAAGTGGTGCAGAAGGCAAACTATGCAAATCAGGTTGATGATATGGGAACTTTGTTCTTTGCTTGCAATTCTGTGTCTCAGGTGAAGGTCAATAACACTTGGTATATTGACAGTGGTTGTAGCAACCACATGACAGGAGATGAAAACTTGCTGGTGAATGTGAGTAGAAATCTGAAAGCAAAAGTAAAAATGGGAACTGGTGAAGTGGTGAGTGTAGCAGGAATAGGCACACTTGTCATTGAAACCAAAATGGGAAGAAAGCACATACAAGAAGTAATGCTAGTACCTGGCTTGGATGAAAATTTTCTAAGTGTAGGGCAAATGCTGGAACATGGTTACTATCTGCTATTTGGTGATAATGCAGTCTGTATATTTGATAGCTGGAACTTGAATGGACTGGTTGCTAAGGTTCAAATGACTAGCAACAGATGCTTCCCTCTAACAATGATGCCTGCCACACCACTAGCATTAAAAGCTAGTGTATCTCATTGCATACAGATTTGGCACAAGAGGCTAGGTCACTTAAACACAAGAAGTTTGCTGCAACTCAGGGAGCAAGAAATGGTTCATGGGCTACCTCACTTGGAAAATTCCAAGAATGTCTGTGAAGGATGTATGCTTGGCAAGCAACATAGGGATGAGTTTCCAAGAGAATCTGCTTGGAGAGCTAAATTCCCACTTGAATTGATACATACTGATATCTGTGGTCCAATGCAAGTTGCTTCAAATGCTGGAAACAAGTACTTCATTCTGTTCACTGATGATTGTACAAGGATGACATGGGTCTACTTTCTGAGGTACAAATCTGAGGCATTGGAGTATTTCAAAAGGTTCAAAGCAATGACAGAATTGCAGTGTGGGTACAAAATCAAGTATCTAAGAAGTGATAGAGGTGGTGAGTTCTTGTCTTCTGAATTCAGTGACTACTGCAATGTTTCTGGGATTCAAAGGCAACTAACCATGTCATACACACCACAGCAGAATGGTGTATCAGAAAGGAAGAACAAAACTGTGGTGGAGATGGCTAAAACTATGCTACATGAAAAGGGCATGCCATACCAGTTTTGGGCAGAAGCTGTCCACACTGCAGTGTATCTCCTCAACAGATGTCCTACTAAGGCATTGGATAAAAAGACTCCTTTTGAATCCTACAGTGGGAGAAAACCTGGAATTGCACATTTGAAGATCTTTGGGTCAGTATGTTATGTTCATGTTCCCATAAATTTGAGACACAAGCTTGAGTGCAACAGTCACAAATGTGTGTTTGTGGATTATGGAACCAGTGAAAAAGGATACAGATTATTTGATCCTATCACTAGTAAGATTATACTGTCTAGAGATGTAGTATTTGATGAGAGTGCTGGATGGAATTGGAATGACAGCCCTGGAAAACAGTCCAGTGTATCGATTACTACTGATATGGCAGAATCTGATCTAATTCAAGGGTCAAATGTTCAAGATGAAAGTGTATTCCCTGAGGCTATTTCTGATACTTCACTAGATGATTTGAATATTGATGCTGATGATCCGAGTTCAATCATTGATCTATCACAGAGCTATGATTCTACTCCAAAGAAATGGAGATCCTTAAATGAGGTCATTGCACAGTGTAATGTATGCATTATGGAACCTGAGAATTTTGAAGAGGCTGCCCTAGATTTGTCTTGGATGAAAGCTATGCAAACTAAGCTAGACATGATTGAGAGGAACAATACATGGATGCTGGTAGATAGACCATCTAGCAAACCTGTGATAGGTGTGAAATGGGTATACAAAACAAAACTGAACCTTGATGGAAGCATTCAGAAAAACAAAGCTAGACTGGTTGCAAAAGGTTATTCACAGAAGCCAGGCATTGACTTTAATGAAACCTTTGCACCAGTTGCTAGGCTTGATACCATAAGGACCCTGATTGCTCTTGCAGCTCAGAAAGAATGACAACTATTCCAGTTAGATGTAAAATCTGCATTCCTTAATGGTGTACTCAAAGAGGAAGTTTATGTTGATCAGCCTCAAGGGTTTGTTATACAAGGCAAGGAGGATAAGGTGTATAAGTTAAGTAAGGCATTATACGGCCTTAAACAAGCTCCAAGAGCTTGGTATGAAGAAATTGACTCTTACTTCACCAAGGCAGGTTTTAAAAGAAGTCCTAATGAAGCCATCTTATATACTAAGGTTGAAAAGTCAGGAATTCTCATAGTTTCTGTCTATGTTGATGACATTGTGTACACTGGAAGTAGTGACACAATGCTTGATAGTTTAAAAAATGACATGATGCAGCATTATGAGATGACTGATTTGGGATTGCTACATCATTTTCTTGGTATGGGAATTGTTCAAACCAAGAAAAGCATCTTCATACATCAGAAGAAATATGCAATGAAAATGCTGGAGAAATTTGGACTACAAGGTTGTAAGTCTGTGGGAACACCACTTGCAGCAAATGATAGGTTATGCAAAAAGGATGGGAGTGAAGCTGCAGATGAATCTGAATACAGGAAATTGGTGGGAAGTCTTCTGTACCTTACTGCCACTAGACCAGATATAATGTTTGGTACTAGTCTCTTGGCAAGATTTATGCACGGTCCAACTAAGAAACATATGGGAACAGCAAGAAGAATACTAAGATACATTCAAGGTACTATGGATTTTGGCATTGAATATGTGAAAGGAAAGTCAGCAGTTCTTATAGGATATTGTGACAGTGACTGGGCTGGGAGTATTGATGACATGAAAAGCACATCAGGGTATGCCTTCAGTCTTGGCTCAGGTGTGTTCTCTTGGGCATCAGTTAAACAAAACACAGTAGCATTATCCACTGCAGAAGCAGAATATGTAAGTGTTGCTGGAGCAACATCTCAGGCCAAATGGTTAAGATTCGTTTTGGAAGATTTCGGGGAAGAACAAGTTGAACCCACTGTGCTAATGTGTGATAACACTTCAGCAATAGCTATTGCCAAGAATCCTGTGTTTCATCAGAAAACAAGACACGTTAGCAGGAAATTCCATTTCATCAGAGATGCAATACAAGAGAATGAGAATGAACTTGTTTATTGCAAATCCGAAGAACAAATGGCAGATATCCTGACAAAGGCTCTACCAAAGGAGAAGTTCAACTATTTCAGAGAAATGCTAGGAGTGAAGTCAGCTGCCAGCTTAGAGGAGAGTGTTGATGTTTAAGCCTTGCAGCTGTCTTGTGTTTTGTTGCATTCTGTCTTTCTGTAATTCAAAGTCTCTTTTGTCTTAGTTTTGAAATGTAAGGCTAAGATTAAATCAAAGCTAATAGGCTAAATGTATGTGTGTCTCATGGTATAACATCTCACTTATATGTGAGCATGTGGGATTCACGTGAGTTTTGGTGTAATGGGAGAGATAGTGCGCCTCAAACGGCTATATCTCCTCCCCACTCTAGTTTGTAGCCTTTTAATCATTTCAATCATAGCTGAATGAAATCAGAAATTTTCACAGAGCTCTTCATCTTCTCTGCATCAACATTTTCGTGTGCATTCTTGGTTGAAATCAAAACCTTGTTGAATTCTCCTTAGTTCTGTGCACTGCTCTGTTGTTTTATAGAACTCTAACAAATATACCTACAAATGGAGCTGAGATTGGCGGTGCCTTTGGTGGAGAAAAGGCAACTGGCGGTGGTCGTGAAGCAGGGAGCGACTCCTGGAAACAATACATGAGACGTTCAACATGGTAATCTTTCGTTAAGCCTACGCATTTCCTAGAATATCTACACTGATCATTGGACTGTTTCATGGTTATTTCATCAAATGACGTGAACAATTCTTATCCTTTGACAGTACAATCAACTACGGGACTGAACGACCACTTGCTCAAGGTATAAATTTCGGCTAGTGAACCAGGCATCACAGCAAAGCTCGGTCTAATCTCTCGGTCATGACTTGTCAAGGAAGGTACATTCTGCAGAATGTGCTGTGTCATGGTTACGAGTACCGGGCCAGCTTGAACGCGCTAAAAAGAAACCCGAAACAGATGTTTATGATGATTGGTTTAGATTTCTAATCTTGATAAATAAATGGTCTTTCATTTTTCTTTTCTTTGAGAAATAAAAGCAGTCTTTGTTCAAATGGTTATGCTTGTGCTTTGCGGCGCTTCTGCTTTTTGCTTTTAGTCCATCTGTGAACTGATCAAGTATTCGTCATAAGTGTTCAGTGACTGGTAGCGTAAAGCCTCTGACTTTTTGCTGCCAAGATTGACAGGGCAAGCGTGGCCATTATTTCTGGCGATCCTTGGCCGCCGGTGTATACAACCGGCAACAAATAAGAAACGTTATAACGAGAAGAATATATTTCCTCTCAACGGCTGTATGCAATTATACGTCTATTTGTTTTCTTCATTTAACAATCACTTATATCATTGGATACTACAAATGCGTCTCTCTCTCTCTCTCATCACACAATCCGGTACACTTCAAGTTTTCTTCTTGCGGCCCACCTAAGAAGTTGACGCTGCTGAGTTGTGTAGATGGATTTTTTAGTCCAAATGATAGAGACGGGGATGAAGATGTCTTTCTATCACAAGGGAAGTTTTGATAGCAGTACAAGCGCTGCGTGTATATCCCACGGTAGGGGAAGTTCTAATGTCCAGCCGGCTAGATAAGATTCTTCCATTTTTCTCTCCGTATGCGGCATTAGACTCGTAAAACCCGGCGTATTAAATTCCACACTCCTCAAAATTAACCTCATCTCATGAGTCAGACGCCGCATATAGAGGGGAGGGCAGATAGAAGAATCCTGGCCTATGTAGATGATGGACTGGAATCAAAGACTATTCTAGTAAGTATTCCATGTACTCACTTTTTTTATTTGACCAAATAAAAAAAATTCACGTGTTTCTTATTTTTTTTTAAATCAAGAAAAATTGATGACATAATAAACAGATGCCTTAATTATTTTTTAATAGGTTAGGTAAACTACGCATAACGAAAGAGTAATGTTATTTATACCATGTTTTTATACTACATTTCTATACAACCTTAGGTAACATCTGATGTGCACAACCACATCATTTGAAAAATTTGCAAAACTCAAGGAAAGAAATTAAAAAGATTATTCGTATACCACAATCATCATTTAATTAACTAGTTTTTATTAATTATTAGTTTATTAAATAATGAACTAAATTTAAAAATCTGATTAATTCAAATGACGTGGCAGTCCACGTCAAATACTATCTAAGGTGGTATGAAAATATAGTACAAAATAGGGTATAAATAGCATTACACAACGAAAAACAACTTCTATGATTGATTCCAAGTCGTTTCCAAGTCAAATAGCTGACTGTGAAACAACAAAGAATCAAAAAATTCATAACCACCAACGAAGCAACAAAGCATAGAAAAATACTACTAAATTGACGCGGAAGGATTAAACAAAAGGAAAGTCATTTTAACGCACCTTTTGAATCTTGTTTGAGAGATAAACGAGGTGTTTCTTACTGACATTATCAGTCGTACGATACTAAACTACTTGCCCAATAAAATTATGACGTCAGCAGTTGAAGGAGAAGTCGAGTGGGACTGATTGAGTGATACCAACCTTAGCGTGGCCAACTGCATTCTTTTAACTTTTTAACACACAAAATTTCAGAAAAAGAAGCCTTGAATGGACGTGACTCAAGTTACTGGATTCGGTGCCGTTCCACCTGTCCCCCACTTTATTTCTCTGTTTTGTCTCATTCGATCATATATGGCCAGTTTTCAGACATGGGAGGGACAAATGTTTTGCTACAAATAATCCAGACTTCCTCACACAAGGGCAGTGAACAGACTGGCGAGGAAGAGAGAGAGAGACTTACACGAAACGGAACCGTCAAGATGTTAAGATGTCTGTGTTTCGGACTAATTTGTACAACGTTTTGCGGAATAGCTGAAACACTGACGACACGTGAATAGGCTGTTTTAACGTTTCAATTTCATGTAAGTTTCAGAGAAATGAACTTGGTGGTTTTTGAACAAATGCTTTCCTTATTTTTCTATGGGAAATTTCTCAGAAATTTCCTTCTGTGCTTTAGATATTTCTTACCTTTTTTCATTTAATTCCCTCCAAATAAACCAATATTACACTTAACTAAAACAGATAAGAACCAGCTAATTAGCAATTAAACCACCGCTAATTAGTAATTAAAATCTATAAGAAGGGAAGGTTTAATGAGGTGCATGCATTGAAGACCAGCCAGCAATGAAAACTGAATTGCTTAGCTGTTGCCGCACACAGTAAAACTTTTCCGTGTACAGGAAAAAAAAAGAAGGGCTTTTAGATCTAGGTCCAAAAACATAGATGGTTTTTAGGAGTAAGTCCAATTATATAATTATATGTTTTTATTTTTTTTGTACTCATTTTATATATTTTTTAAATATTAAAAATCAATTAAAATCTTCTAATATTATGCATTTTTCAACTCTAAAAAATCTAATTAATATCTTACAACTAATATACTAACATAAATTATCTACAAAACATTGTACCTTAACTCAAGTAATAAATATATAAATATATATTATACCTGTAAGCAAGATATGAAACCTAACTAAAAGGTAGGAAAAAACATAATATACCTATAAGCAAGACACATGAATTTATGACACATTGATTATAAAAAAGAATTTGTCATATAGATACATAAAAATAAATTAACCTGTGATATAGGTTGATTATAAAAATTAAAAATAAAATCTATAAATGGGGTTTAAAGCAGGAGGAAGAACAAAAAATAACAAAAAAGAAAAAGAAATAATCAAAGAGATAATTAGGAAGAAATTTGATTTTTATAATAAATCTTATCATTCAATAGATAATTATTGATAATAAAATAATTAGATTTATTTTAATAAATTAGATTATTCGCTAAAAAAATTGGACTTATATCAAGTTTTCCCAAAAAAAAAAAAAAAAAACCAGCATGCTAAACATGATTAGGGATAGTGGAAGGAACAAAGTTGGCATATCACTTTCTCAAATATCTAATTTGACCCTCTATTCAATCACCTAATGGCCCTAGGTTTATTTCCATTTATTTCACAACCCTAACAATCAAGAATTCATCGTCTCTACTTTATCAAAGAAAGTTTAAGTTTAAATTTCATGAACGACAGTTGTTAATTACTAAAAATATTATAAGAGCGAAAAAGATATCTGGGTTTAAATTTCATGGACGATATAGTTGTTAATCGATGAAGATAATTACAATGGAGAAGCCAATGGCTATTTGGTCTCCACCTTGTAAGTCTGAGTTTAAATTTCATGAACGACAATCTAAGTTAGATGAAACAAGAAAGAAAATGCATTTTTGAAGCAAATTAACATATGAAATATTTACATTGGAATTCTAGAAAAACAAGCTCATGTTCAGTCCTATCAGTTCCCACATCATTAACTTAAAAAACCCATTTTTCATAATCCCAATTAGAGCAAGAAAAACCGACCCAAAAATTTACCCAAATCCCAAATTGTTAATGTATCGAAGTGAAAAAGAGAGTTCCTCTGTTTCACATATTTACCTTTTAATCCTCTGCTTTTTACCATTTTCACCTAGACAGAGAGGGAAAGCAACTTCCCGAACGAACAAGCGGCGGGCTGCGAATCCTTTCGACTTCTCCGAGGGTAGTACTGGAATTTGACCTCAGGGCTCTCGGAGTATCCAAGCTCCGCCGGAAAACCCGACCCATGGCGAAGATAGGGTGCTCTGTTTCTTTCTGCGACCGGAACTTTTTGCAGAAATTTATGTGGCGGTTCAGGGCTTCTTCGGTGGAGATGTGCCTATCTGATCGTAGAACTTCGTCTTTCACCGCCTCGACGCAGAGCCCGCAAATCCAACGGCCCTGATAGCGGTCTCGGACTCGGGAGATGTAGGCTGGGGTGCAATCCTCTGTGAACCCGCAGGAGGCGCATTTTACGCACTCGACTTCGATTGGTGGAGGTGCTGGGGATGGTTTGGTTGAGGTTTGGTGCTGGGAGTCTGTCCCGGTTATAGCCATGGAATGTGGTAGAACATTGAACTCTCTCTCCTCTCTCTCTCTCTGTTTTATCTCTGTTTTTTTCGGAACAGAGGAAAGAGAGTGAAGAGGTCTATGCTATGTAGATGTGTGTGGAGAGAGAAACTTTCCACCAACGGGAATCTAGTCTGGCAACATTTCCCAGTCAACTATGTATGGTACATATGTTTTAATTATTTTATATATTAATACTTGATCAATTTGAAATACTGCTACATCGACGTTTTCGTTACACAAAAGTTCTTTCTCTCCTCGGTGTGGGTGTCTACGTATTTGTATGCAATTAAATTGTAGCTATAAATTAGGGTTTGTGTCATGGATTTTCTTACTATTTGGTCAGGACTTAAAATAGGATTTTCATCATTCTGTGGCATTAGGTGGACAATGGGTCATGGGAAATTTACGAGACTCATGGCCATAATTTTGGCAACTATCATTTTTTGTTTTGGCCGAAATTTAGTAAATTCCTTGAATATCTCATTATTGAAATTTAATGTCTATATCTTATGAGAGATTTGGCATGGAAAGGGTGATTTGGCATGTAATATCTCGTTCGGTGGTTAAGATAAGTAGTAATGACTGAATTTCGTTATAGAAAAGTGATTAGGGTTGGTTTGGTTGGATAAGAGCTAATCTCATCATAATCTAATCATGTATATTGTTGTGATTAGGGTTACTTCGAGAAGTGATTAGGGTCTTTGCACTCCGAACCCAGTTCAAATTTGGTAGTTTTTTAGTCAAAATGATCTTTGAAATTGACATAACTCCTCACTTCGGTTCCTAAGATTTAAAATCAATAGAAGTGGTCATGAGATTACCCATCGTCAATTATTTTCATCATTCTGTTAAAAATCTCCGTTAAATTGAAGAAACAACCAATTTAAGGGGAGGGGTTGATTTGACAAAAATACCCTCAATTTAACAGATATTTCTCACAGAATAACTAAAATGATTGACGAGGGACAATTAGAGACCAATCGTATCGACTTTAATTCTCAAGAATCAAAATAAGAAGTTATACCAATCTTAAAACTATTTATAAAAAATATTTTGTGTAAGCAAAACTTTATCAAACTCAATTTTCCCATCATCTTTGAAAGCCAATTGAGATGGTTAGATTACCACCATATCATTTTTATTATGAACATGTTGTGGTTGATTTGACGATTTGATATGAACATGACCCGAAAAATAAAGGGAACTTTAACGAAAAGTTTCTAGTACTGTTCACTTTAACGAAAAACTATATTTTTATACTAAAAAATCAATCCCGGTACTATTCATTTTACCCTTTATTTTGTCTTTATCGTTAAAACTCAAAAATTTCAAACTATATTCGTTAGTTTTCTTAAAAATAAACCTTATCCCAGGCGAAACGGAAATAAAAAAGAACAAAAATCTTATCAATCACATTTCATATGTGAGATAGCAAATCCCAGTTCTTCTTCGTCATGAATCCATGATTAAATAAAAAGTAGAATATCAGAGTTCTATATTCTGAGTTTTAACCATTAAATCTTGTCAGTATATCTTCGACCACAATCTAATAATTAAAAATTCGGGAATATATTGTAAAATCCCGTCTGTTTAACCCTAAAGTCATGTCAAGTTTTTGTGAGAAAAGCAACGAGTGGACTGACTTTGTCTCTGTATAGCATTATCCTGACAAGTGCAGCTTTGTTTCTCATAAAAAATATGAAGTCACACAACATTGTGAATGTTCTCACATTTATCATCGTTATGGCTCTCAATATTCTGGCACTTTGTTGGCATGGTTGCTTGCCTTCTCTCTCCAAATCTACTTCTTCTCCCCAATATCACCAGATTCACTTCACCTCCCTCCACCTTCCCTCCTTCCCAGAAACAACATATTAAAGGTTTCATAATCATTTCGTTTTCATTTTAAGTTCTGAAACACAAAGCTCATGGACCATCTCATAACCATTTTTTAATTATGGTTAGCAGACAGGTTGTGAGATTTCCGTTTTAAGTACTTTAACTTGAAATTCTGGTGTTTCTTTCTTTCTCGTTTTTATTAAGTTTTTGGGTTTGTGTAGAAAGTGATTACAGCTACAAGAGATGGTTGGATCAAAAGGGTTCACACAAAGGGGAGTTGGGAAAACCGGAGGAAGGTGAACAGTGATACAGTTTTTGGAATTACATTCACAAAAGATGGTGATCTTGTTACATGTGATACTGATCAAGAGGTAAGAGCAGCACATTCTGACCAGAAAATGGAGAAATACTTGTGTAATTAGAAATTTATTTCTATCTATCTCTCGATATCACTCATCACTTAACTATTTGCTCAACATACTGAGTTACCTAATGGGCATAAGAGAGCGATGGGGTAAACTCTTTAAAACTTAAACCTCGGATCACGCGTAAGAATGTACATTGTAAAACTGGATTTTGCATTGTTTCCCCTTTTATAAACTGGTACGTGTTTAACTCTCTAACGCCTGTGGTCTGGTTGCTGCAATTTGTGCAGGGTTTGCTAAAGGTTATTGAAAATGGTGTCACAGGTTTCACATCACATGTTAATGGGTCCAAAATAAGGTTAGACTGCTTTCCACTACACAATCTATTACATGTTCTTTTATGCGAATGTCTTGAAACGACCTACTTTAACGTGTCTCTTTGATCGTTTTCAAACCTAAGAAGAGACCCAATGTTCGATGTGTGGAATTTTTCACATGCAAAAAGAGTTGGAATTGTATACATATGAATAAGTAAACACAAGTAAGGATTTCTGCACTTTATTTTCTCTTCGCAATCTTTTTAGATTTTATGATATTTGAATTGAATAAATAAAAATAAAAAATAAAACAAAAATAAAACAAAAGTGTAAAAATTATTATTTATGAACAAGCGCCTGCAATATTTACCGAGACGAAGATTTACCTCGAGTTAAAAACTAGATGAATAAGTAAGCGGTGGTTCGATACAACTGTGGAAAATGACTGGAGAGAGAGAGAGAGAGCAATGTGTTCACTTGGAAAGAAAACATCCATGTGCAAGCCATGCCAAATACAATTATGATGTGACACCACCAGAACAATACAAATAAGGTCCTCTTGTTACATATTAATTGCAAGGTGGGGCAGTTGCATCGTGACTAAAAGAATGATTTATATGAAATAAATTTGTTGTTGCGTAATATTTTTTATTGAATTAAAATGTTGTAATAATGGTTAATTCGTTTCATATAAACTGCCTCTTAAAATAAAACTATTAAGTAAGGAATCTTTTTCATTATATTCGGGACCGATTGCTACATGTTCTACAAACATCATGGTTTGCTGGTTTGTAAGATGAATCCATGACTGTTGCCATCAAAGTCTGGTACCGTTTTACCTTCTGGGGATTTCATTTAGATATTTTCATATCTCTGAATTCTTATTTTTTATTTTTTTATATTTTTTGGGTCTTGTTTCATTAACTCTCTTTCAACTAAAGAGAAATAAAAAAACATGATTCAATAGAGACCATGTTGATGTTGAAGTGATGACTGATGAGTGATGAGCCTCCCAACCCTACAACTATTCTACCTGTATTTTTAATGGAGAAAGGCATGTCGCCAAGGAAACTGGTTCATTTCAAATGATTAGGTATTTGTGATCCTCTTTCTGAGGAAAGGATTATGATTAGAGGTGTCAAATTAATTTATTAAGTTGTTAATCGGTACTTGTGAATATATGTTTAATTTGATATTTCTATAATATAGAGATAAGATTGATAGTGGTGATGACGATGTAAGATAAAATCAAACAGAATTGGTCTTAATGTGTATTCATTAACAATCCAATAAGTGGATTTGTCACATGTGATTGTTGGACCAAGGTTTGTATTGTTGCCTTTTGGAAATAAGACATGTCATTTGAGAAGAGGTGTATCAATGCCTATAAATATACCAACAAGTCACCCACTTCATATTATTCAAATTTTTTTTTCTCATCCATGGGTTATATTGTGATATATTATTGTTCTAAGAATTTCCGCCTGACACCGTTTAGGTCCCGCTTAGGCGTTAGGCAGTTGGTCACCATCTCGATTAATCACTAGGTGTTTGAAAATTAAGAAATGGAGCCTCAACCTCTTTAGGTGTCCACCTAGCCTACTTAAGCGCTCGACTTGTCCGTCTAGGTCATGACTCTCACTTAGACAGAAAATGGTAACTTTCATTTTGCATTTTTTTTTGTTCAATAAATTGTAATTTATATATTCCAGTATAAGTACGTAGTTTTTAAGTATAAATAGACACTTAGTTATACGATATATATATATATATATATATATTTACTTAAGGACATAGTATCAAATACTAAACTTGGTTTCAAGTTTCAGATTTTTCTAACACATATTCATATGCATTTAGTAATGTTTTTATTTAAGAATTTGCAACTGATTTGGTATTTAATTGCATGATTTATTTCTTGCAATATGTAAGTGATACATATTGCAATTTAACCTTAATTTTTCCAACAAATTGTCCCCCAACGAAATTTAGTACATAACATTTTAAACCATGTTGCCACTTAGTACTACGGTCTAGTGGTATTCCTCTTCACTTGTCAGTGATAAGTCTTATGTTCGATTCTCACCAAAGACAAATTTGAACCATATTATTGCTAATTCATTGTGAGACCGCCCCCCTTTAGTGTAGATAATATTATTTGTTTAAAAAAAAAACATATTAAACTATGTTGAGTACTAAAAGCATTCATTCTGTCACTTATTACTATAGTCTAGTAATATTCCTCTATATTTTTAAGTGAAATGTCTTAGGTTCAATTCTTACCAAAAACGATTTTGAACCACATTATGCTAGCCTATTGTGAGGCTTAGCCCACCCCCTTTCTTTAGTGTAGATAATATCGTTTGTTAAAAAAAAAAAAGCATTCATTATGTCATTTATTACTATGGTCTAGTGGTATTCCTCTACACTTTTAAGTGAAATGTCTTAGGTTCGATTCTCGCCAAAGATGAATTTTGAACCACATTATGCTAGCCTATTGTGAGGCTTAACCCACCCCCTCCCCTTAGTGTAGATAATATCGTTTGTTAAATAAATAAATAAAAAGGCGTATTGATTCTAGAGAACTTTAACGAAAAACCATATTTTTATACTAAAAATCAATCATGTTACTTTTCACTTTACCCTTTATTTTGTACTTATCAATAAAACTCAAAATTTTCAAGTTATTTTCATTAGTTTTCCTTTGATTCTATTGGGTCTTGTCCGTGGCTTTAGGGCATGTCTCTAGCAATATATCTATTTATCCTAGCATTTCTCAAAACTAAAAACATAGGCCCAGTAAATGAACATATGTTGACGTTAAACTTCATAAGAGGGACAAACCCTTACTTTTCTAAAGGATTAATTACAGTCAGATTGCAGATGATGTAACTGAGGGACCAGATGGTAGTCTATATTTTAGTGTTGCAAGCACCAAATTTGGACTCCATGATTGGTATCTGGACGTGCTAGAGGCAAAGGCCCATGGGCAACTGCTCGAGTATGATCCCTCATCTGGTGAGAATTCAATTCTACTTGATCATTTGGGTTTTGCTAATGGAGTTGCAGTGTTAAAAGACCAGATTATCTGCTGGACTTTGAAACATGGAAGTAAGCTTGATGCAGCACTTCTCTCTCACCCTATACGCCCGTTTGGTGGGCTAGGTGGTATTGAGTTTAGGGGAATTGAATTGGCGAGACTTGTAAGTTGTAACCCAAGTATAATGATATGTTAGATAACCAATGGACGATTAATAACCAATTCCATGCAACCAATTCGACCATGTTGATAATATTGAGTTTCATGCTTAGATTTAGGTGCTTGAGGTGCTGTTGGGAGATAACAAGGGGAAGACAGAGATCTTTGTTGAGAATCTTGCTGGTGGACCTGACAACATTAATCTTGCTCCAGATGGGTTCTTCTGGATTGCTCTACTTCAGGTAATACAACCTAATTTTATGCAAAATTAGTGAATAGAAGGGCTTCCAAGATTGGGCTCGGGATTCACCACACTTCGCAGAAGCTCGCACAGGTTATGTCAAAATTTCTTCTCTTTCCCAAATCAATGTTTTTTTTTTATTTTGTGTGTGTAAAATCTCAATTACATATGATTGATTAGTGTGTTAATTATGCTAATATAATTGGGATTAATATGCTTAATTAGTGTGTTAATTATGCTTACAGAGAATCAGGATGCTAAGCTTTTGTTCGTGTTGGAATTAGAATATTAATAAACTGGTAATTCATGGCTATACTTGTATATACAATATGAACAAATAAAATCATTACAAACTTTTAATCAAAAATAAAATTTGAAAATACTAAATAAATAAACCACGATTTGGTGCACTTTATGTTTGTCTAGCGTCCCTCTGGCTCAATAGGACTTGCTGACATTTGGAGCGATCCCTGCTGACATATTTGCTTTGGTATTCGCCAGTGGCGAAAAGGGCATGGGTGTTTGATGAGCGGACAAGAATTGTCTGCTCTCCTATTTTCGGTGTCTTTCTGTATCTTCTTGTTTTGTGTAATCACGATTAAATCACTTCAACATTTTATATTATTTTTTTTATAAAAATAATAAGATAAAAATAAATAGTAATATAAAATATTGATATGTCTTAATCGTAATCACATAAATAAAAAGCACGAAGAACATCGAAAGTAGAAGAGCAGACAATCCTTATCCTTGATGATCCGGCTCTGGAGATCCAAGAGCTGAAAAGTGAGTAAAAGAAGTTAAAGTTGCAAGATCAACTTGTATATCTCTGAAAAGTGAGTAGAGGACTCCAACGTCAAATCGGATTTTGTTTGGATTAAAAATATACAAGGACCAAGCTCTCCCTCTCCCACGTTGTTAGTCCTCTTTCTGGAATCGGGATCATTTTCAAATCCTAAAAAATTGAGTTTAAGGATCAAATGATCCGGACCGTTGAAATTTGATCAAACGATTACAATTATTATAATTTTTAGAAAGAAAGATTAAATTTCAACGATCCAAATCATTTGATCCTTATACTCTGTTTTTTTTTAAGATCCGAAGAAGATTCAGGTTAAAACATGCTCTTTATGGTTAAAACAATTGTCAAGATCTGCTCACCAATAGACCACATGCTCTTTATGATTAAAACAATCAGACAATATATATACCGGTGAAATTTCAGGACGGGCCTAGCCCTATCCTGACCTCCATGTGGCTCCGTCACTGTCAAGCAGTACTACACATGTGTGGTATAGGAATTCCCTATAGATGTGGTAAATTACACTTTACATCTTTAATATTAAACAGTAACTTAATTACAAATGTGACAAATTAATAGAGATCAATTATAAATTCAAATCCATTATGACATAGCTACATTAGTTTGCAGAGTCCGTTATTGAAGATAAGAGCACCTCGGTTGAAGTAGGGAACCCAGGTTCCAACAAGGCACGCACTTTTATAACGTGGCAGCAGGCCACAGAGAACCATCAACTCCGTGAAGACCCAAACGCGGCAGCTCTTGTCTTCTTGGAAAAGAATATACGTCCTGGCACAACAATGAACTGGCCCTTCACTAGAAATACAAACACAGCACTTTCCTGACGCGCAGAATTGCCGAATCGATCCCCTTCTCATCTACCAAACTCCTAGAAATCCTTAAGCACTTCTCACTGGAACCATCATCTGTGGAAGCTAACACGATCAAGGAAACAATCCAAGATTGTGAAGCAGCCAGGCTTTAAAGGAAAGGAAAAATATTGCGCAACGTCTTTAGAATCAATGATTGATTTCACCACTTCCAAGCTTGGAACAAGTGTTGAAGCCTTGATATCGATAGAGGAGGAAAAAAAAGCCACCATGTTTATGCACAAGTACACCATAATGCCTAGAGTGAAGAAGTTGGAAGGTGAAAAAGCCGTCTTGTGTTATAAGCAGAACTATACTTACGCTGTGTTTTACTGTCATGCAATAAAACAAACAAGAGCTTATATAGTGCCCCTTGTTGGTGCCGATGGGGTGAAAACTAAAGCAGTAGCAGTCTGCCATATCGATACATCTGAATGGAACCCTAAGAATTTGGATATCAAAGCCTTACAAGCTATATATATATATATATATTGACACACACACACTTGCACCTATGTATATATACACGTTGTATTTGATCCTACATTATCTGTTTATATAAACCTTGTCTTCTCGATCATCACCATGTATAGTGGTCATGCATGTATATATGTATGGTATCTATTTTCAATAATGGATAGTATGCTTTTGATATTTTGTGTTTCTTTCTAATGGTTGAGTGATTAATCTGTTGTTAATATAGAGAATCCTTTGCGGTAATAATATATACACGTAAGTTTCATTGAAGTTACTTCCAAAACAAAATTTTATTTGGCAATTACATTTTGCACCACTGTTGTCTAAGGCAATTAAAAGTTTGTTGTCAGCTGTACTAAAAAAAAAAACAAAAAGAAAATAGTTCGTTGTTGTCTTTTGATATTGTACTAAAGTAATTTCACATAAACAAATTTTTGTTTTTTGTTTTTAATTTTAAAAGCCTCACAACCAGGTAACATTAACAATTTTCTTCTACCACGTTTTCCTCGAATTTAACCGATTTTTAATTTAAATCGCCAAATTGCAAAACAAACAAAGCAAGAATCAATCTGTAAGTTTAAGTAAACTTTTCCTATTGATTTTGGTCACTCCGCAAATTATTCCTTTTGATTTTCAAGCTGCAATTTGAGTGTTTTGGAAATTTATTTGTATCTTATTCTGTAAACAACTTCACCAGAGCTTCCTCTCCCAGACTCTGATTCTTGCTGCTGCCGCTTGCATTCTACAACGGCAATGGCGATTTCTTCATATTTTTTCTTTCACTTGCTCGGTTATTCGCGTATCCAAACACCACCCAATTGAAAGCCGAGGAACTGCTAGCCGTTAACCTTTGGAAAAGCCAATTGCTTGGATACTTGTATTAGATGAAGAATCTTTCTCTGTAATTCACAGATTACAAAAGAAGCTGGTCGTGACTCGTGAAGCGAAATTTTAGTGCGAGGAGAGAGACAAGGAGGTCGATAGTATGGGCCTGATTGTT